CATTTCAAAGCAACAACACAATGTCAGTCGACGCAAAACTCACCAAATCGCTCAAATTCGCCATTTAGAGCCACAGAAACGACAATACACAGCAAGTGAGGTAGGTTTACATTTATTTTGAGCTTTAACACAGACATTTCATGATATAAGTTTACGACAATAAGACTCTTCAATATTCTCCCATACATTCCTTTATATTTCGAATAAACAACCAGACTCGTCGCTTGTCTGGGCTCCCTGTGTTATGAGCAGTCGTCGTAGACAAGTTCCGAATTCCGAGAAATGCACTGAAGCATGAGCTATTTCATGGAACGCTGACAGTTATGTGAGTTCACTCTAGTGCTGTTAATGATGCGTGTTGTTCTTCAAAATTAATGCTGATTCCGCTGTAGTTATGTTTTGGCGGCCAGTTTGCCACTGAACTATTGCCAACTGTCTTGCGGCTTCAGCCATGGAAACTAAACCGTTGATACACAAGCTTCAAAATCTTCGCAAGGAAGTATCTTGTTCCATTTGCGAAGCTCTTTATACTGAACCAAAAATGTTGCCATGTTTACACAGTTTTTGCCTGGATTGCTTAGAGAATGTTATACGATCAAGTGGCCGCCATGATACCTTTACGTGTCCTGATCCTATGTGCAAGACAGAAATTAGAGTTCCCAGCAGTGGAGATCTTAAGGAGCTTCCCGCTAACTTCCGCCTTGTAAACTTGCTAGATGTCTTGGCCATTAAAGAACACAATAGTAGAGGAGTGAAATGTGGAAACTGCGACAAAACAAGCGCCCAGAGTTCGTATTGTTTTCAATGTTGTGCATTCTGGTGTAACGAGTGTATCACTGGGCATAATATCATACGGGCTAACAAAGAACACCGTGTTTTGGCTCTCCAAGACTTTCAGGATCACGACATCGAGAATGTCAAAAAGAGGCCTGCATTTTGTCAAATAAAGAATCACAAAGCCGAAGAGTTGAAGTTTTTTTGCAAGAAATGTGACGTTGCCATTTGCCAAACTTGTATAGTGGCACTACATGACGGCCATCCTAAGGTACCTTTAAAGGAAACTGCAAACGACTTAAAGTTGAGGGTCCAGTCTACAATTAAATCCCAAAAAGAAAGCATAAAGAAGAATATGATTGAGTTAGAAAACATCGACAATGACTGTGAGAGGATTCAAGAACATTTCCATAAATTAAAGAGAGAAGTGGAGCAGCATGTAGATGTCATAATCGCTGTCCTTGAAAAGAAGAAGCAGGAAATAATTGTTCAAGTTGAAACAAAGGCAGCATTGTCAACTCAACGTCTTGAGCAGGAAAAAATTGCGATTAAAAGTCAAGTGGCTACAAAAACTGAAGCTCTTATCAAAATTGAAAATCTTTTGAAAGTAAACCCAGAAGCAGACATATTGCAACAACGCAGTTCTTTTGAAAAGTTGCTGGAAGGGGAAATTTTCTATGACAACTCACTTGCTACTGACAATGAACAATTTTGTGAGATAAATTTCAAAGGAAATCAAAATCTATTCAACAGTGTGAAAGCTGAGCAAATTGGTTCCCTTGAAGATAAACAAACAGCATCAGTCCCTGGCTCTCAAAATGCACTCAGAACAAGTAATGTAGAGAATGGGCAATCTCAACAGCAACCCGATAAAGAGCAGGATGATTTCGGCTCTTGCCAAGGCAATGATGGTGCGACAAAGGTTCCCGTGGCTCAAGATGACAACGACCTTTGCTTCAAAATCAGCGATTTTGTCACAGAGCCCTGCAAAAGGTTGGCAGCTGTAAATTTAGAACCTATTCCTCACCTCGCTGCTCACTTAAGGCCTGGCCAGTTTGAACCAGTTTTATTTTTTGGAGAAGAAGGTGCTTTGGACGGAATGTTTAACTACCCCTGGGGTGTGGCAGTTAATGAACGTGACGAATTAGCAATTACCGATCATGGAGGACGACATGAGGTCGAGCGGGTCCAGGTATTCACCTGCGATGGCACGCACTTACGATCCTTTGGCGCGAAGGGTGCTAGTCATGGAGAATTTAAATTTCCCACAGGCATAATTTTTGACAAGAATGGAAATATCATAGTAGCAGACAATGGTAACCATCGGGTTCAGATGTTTAGTGACCAGGGTGAGTACCTGAGCCAGTTTGGTGTAAAAGGAAGTCTCATTCATCAACTTAACAATCCTCTTGGTTTATCCTTAGAAAATGATGGTAGTATCATTGTCACTGATAACACAAACAAACTAGTGAAGATATTTTCTAGTAATGGCAAATTCTTGCATAAAATTGGTCGAAGGGGTGCTTTTAACTTTCCTTTTCACTGTGTCCAGTATGGTGGTAAATACTATGTGTCAGACCGTGACAAACATTGTGTCAAAGTGTTTGACGGCAATGGCACTTATAGATATAAATTTGGGAGAAAGGGAGAAAGTGACGGTAGTTTTAATGAGCCCCATTGCTTGGCAGTGAGTAAGGCAGGAAATCTTATGGTCTGTGATTCTATGAATCATAGAATTCAGGTATTTGATTTAAATGGAAATTTTGTGTCCAAGTTTGGAACAGAGGGCACAGGCCTAGGGCAATTTAACAAACCAGTCTCCTTAGCAGTTTTAAGTGATGGAAGGATAGTTGTCACAGACTTCTGCAATCATCGCATTCAGATATTCAAACCAATATAATACCGATTTTAACATTAAATGACTTGAAGGAAACACACATGATTCACTGCAACTCTGAGTTTTGTGCATTAAGCACTCACCAGGCCATGAGTGCTTAACGCATGAAACTCAGTTGCAGCGAATCATGTGTGTTTCCTTCTAGTCACTTAATGTTATATACTGCTCTACACAAATGTGTATTGAGCCCCTTTTAACAGTGCTAGCTACAGTTCACTATTAGTAATACTGATTTTATATATTTAACCACTGAACTGTAAATGTTTTTGCTTTTTTCAGGATTTTTAACCTTAAAGTTGTTTAAACATGTTTGCATGATGAATTATTTTTACTTACATGTGTAGGATCCCCCCCCCCCCTCCTTAACCCTCCTCCTAGTAATTACGGGATCTTGAAGTGGCAAAAAATATCTGGGTTTTATTGTATGGCTGTGTCTCACAAGGACTGGGAACTACTGAATTCACGGATTTGATTGGCTGAAATCAATATTGAAAGCAGTCTAGATTTTCTCATCTAGACCAGTCTAGAAGAAAAAGGTACAAACAGTATAAAATATTGGCATAGAAGACAGCCATATAATAAACATCTCATTGACCAAGCTGGGTCGGTCTCTATGGGAGAATCTTGACCTCTGTCGCTAGTACAGACCTCACTGCATTCAGTCTGTACTGGCGACCTTGGTCAAGATTCTCCCAGACAGACCTCCCACTTGGAGAAAAAGAACTGAGTAATTTAATAAGATATTTCATAACCTGAAAGAAAAGATGCTTGTTGATCATATTAAGCAATATAGAGGATTATCGTCTTAGACAGAAGTCAAAACATTTCTTCTCTGCCAGTTAAAGCTAATTAGAACCTTTTGGAATGAAAATCTTTCTTTAAAGATGATGCCACTTCTTGTAGAGGATCCATCTTTTGGTCCCACAGAAAGCTCAAACCTGCATAGTTAAGTTGACCATATCTTTGTTAGATTAAAATGCAAAATATAAATGATAGGATTTATGCTACAAACTAAATAAAACAGCTCAAGGCCTATCCTTAGAAACCATGATGTATCTTATTAAATAATTTCTCAAGTATTTGTAATCATAAGTAAGATATTGTTGTATCATTAATAATTTTAATATCTACATGTTTATGGTAGTATTTCAAAATTGGTTTTACCACAAGTTTGTATAAAATAAACTTTATATTGACATGAATCACTTGAGTTTAAACATGCTATAGAAGGGAGGGAGAAAGGAGTCATACAGGTATCCCCAACCACTTCATTTTGCCAGTCAATATTTAAGTTGTACTTTAAATACATGTAAATTAATTCTGTTTATTTCTCCATGAACAACAGATATATAGAAACAATGCTTTATAACAAAGTCAGATTTCTAGGCCTGGCAGCTACAGTCATCTCAACTTAAAAATCTTCAAGCTTATAGGATATTTGGATCATGTTAACTGTAAGGACTCCAGACCAATATATTGTTTGACATATCGGTCCAAAGTCAGTTGACAATCGACTGATATGTCAGTCAACACTCGGTTGATAGCTAGTGGACACTTGGTTGACACTTGGTCAGCACTTGGCCGATAGCTGGGCGACAATCAGTCAATAGTCATTGGGCACTCGGTCAATAGTTGGTCAATAGCTGACTATCAAGCAAGTCTTGACTGAGTGTAGACCGATTATCGACTGAGTGTTGACCAAGTGTCAACTGTCATATCAGTTGAGTATTGACTGACTCTTGACCCACACATTGACTGATATATTGGTCTAGTAAAATTAAAAGGTTATACTTTATTTACACAGGGTAGCCCATTCAGCTCAAGGCTGGTATCCATAGGGGCCCTGTTTCTTAAATATAAATTACATCAAAATTCTCAATTATTTATAAATTTGACTAGGATTTTAAAACTACATTAACAGCGTAAGACTACAAAGCCAAAACACAATTAAGACCTAAAATAGTAGATAAAATATCAAGTTAAGATAAAAAGAAATGTCTTGCTTGGGGGCAGAACGTTTGAATGTTTTCACTCTTCACAATGCTTAAAGGGAGTTTATTAAAAATTTCTGCACCAGTAAAAAGGAAGGTCCTTTTCCCAAAATTCTGTTTTACTTTTGGTAGGGATAGCCTCATACTTTGCCTTGTGAAATAGTTGTGAATATTCGAAAATCTGATGAAATATGATGCAAAGTAACTTGGAACTAATGAGTGAAGACAGAGAAAAACGAGTTTAGCCTTGTGGTAATAGCGTCTACTGGAAAGATTCGGCCATTGCAGCTGCTCTATTGCTTCAGATGAGCGAGAGCAACGTGTAATAATGCGTGCAGATCTATTTTGTAAGCGCTGTACGTAGTCGATCTATATCTAGAGCGCTGTAGTCGATCTAGTCTAGAGCACCTAGAGTAAACATGATGTGGATATTGTAAAATTTTATACATCCTTGCAGAGTTTTTGGATGAAAGTCGGTATTGAGAAAGTTTATAGATTCAGAAAACGTATACTATTTTGATTTTAATAGAAAAGACAAACATCAAAAAAGGTTTTGAGGCGACTGTTGCTACTCACCCCACTCCTTTACCAAAGAAGCTTGGGTTCTTAAGTGCAATTTGCATTTTATACAAATAAAATTCTTGAAACTGATGAGTTTAGTGTTGTAATGATACATATTTTAAGATCAAGAGTGTAGCCAGAAGTCTCGGACTTAATACCTTCATGAAATTAAGTCAACATCACACAACCTGTAATGCTATGGCCACACTATCAAATACATGTACATGGTTACCCTGCGAGCAGAGCCTTTTTAACCCGTCCTCGAATCGAAAAGGGTAAAGGCTCTGCCGATATCCTGTTGTTGCTCGTTTGAACATGCATGGCAGTTGCCTAGAAACTGATCCTTTTCCACGCCTCCTTGAACTATTGTGGGTGCAGATTTGGTCATCTGTTTACATGAAAAACAAAGGCGTGCACACCAAAACCAGTTTGACTGGAGGCAAAACCAGCTTGAGTAGCCCGGAGTTTTGGGCTTTAAGCATTTCAAAGCAACAACACAATGTCAGCAGAGCCTTTTCCCTTGGAGGGTTAAAAAGAAGAAAAGAAGAAGAGAAGGCTCTGCTCGGAGGGTAGTACATGGTCTAATCTTTACCATCTAACTCCCAAGATCTGATTGTTAATGTTGATACTCCCCCCGTGCCCTCTATCTGCTACACATTTTCTTGTGAGTTAATAGCAAGAATTTAGTGTTAGATCATGATAACAGCTTCTACCTGATAAGTTTGAGTATTCTCATTATCTGCTTGCTGGATAAGGTATGGATATGGGGAGTGGTAAATGGTGATCACTGGTGGGAACTTATATTTAAGGGTTAAGCTTGGTTCCTACACACCTAATAAATTTTATCATTATTAAAAAGTTTACCTTTACATCTTCGCTCTGCATAGGCAATAGAAAATATCCCAAATTTAGCAGATAATAAAGGAAATGTCCACATATATTATGATCAATCTTAAGTTTGGCGACCATTCACTCAGATTATATGCCCATATAGCTATGTACATTTATACCGCTGACATAGGAAACGAGCTCATGTTTCGCGAGGCGGGATTTCTTGAAAACATTGAAGTCGTGTTTGACCATAGTTAGTAGGGTTTGAATGGTTTCCTTCGCCTATCCCTGAACGTGCCAGTAATGCCATCCGATTTTAGTTTGACTGATCGTATAAGCGCTAGTTCATCTTAAAAAAAACTTTCCAAACCACAATGGAACAGAAGAAAATCTCACTCAGTCTCAAAACAGTGACATCAAAAAAGAGATCAGAGGTACGTGAACATGTATCCATAGTGTTTTATTACTAGTATTCCATCGAATGGTCAATCGAAGCCTGTGACAAGCTATGATAAAGACCTCAACAACATATGGTAGTTTTTGAAGGAAATCCAACCGTATAATTTGAAAAAGGGAACAGAACATATTTCTGATCGCAGCTCCGAAAGAATTGCCTTTGATCAAAATTACACGGGCATGTTTGAGCTTGCGTTGTATCTGCATAATTATCTTGCTCACCTGATGTTTATTATCGCATTTTTCGTCATTAATGAATTATTTTGAGGTCTCTCTAGTCTTTCAATCTTAGATTTATACTCTACACTGTAAATACACTATTTTTCTTGCTCAAAATTGTCATTGTGTAAACATCACTAGTGAAAGACGGATGCAGCTCTGAGTTATGCAAAGCGTGCTTATCGGTATAAGTCAACAGTTCTGTCTAGAAAAGTGTTATTTTTTGTCTGTGTTTCCCAGTCCTAGGGCTCCAAATCCCAGGTCTCATTTTAACTCTTCAGGCCTCTTTCAGAGAATACAAACTTGATTTCTTCACAGCTAGGGTAATGTTGGTAGAGTTTGTATTTTTAAAATCGATCGATTTTTTGGATAATTTTAAAGGAATCAACATTAGAAGGAATGACCCCACAGAATGGAAGACTCAAAAAAGCCATTGTGAGGGAAAGTATATCAAACGAAGCACCTCTGTCAAAAAGTAGAAATAACATGGCTGCTCTGGTCAAATCAAAGGCTCACAATGAAAGCTTTGACATCCACTGTTCTTTCGAAAGTAATTGCAGTACAGAGCAGGATATTGACATTCCCTCTACTCAACCAGTACCACATGACCAAATACTGGAAGGTATATGTTATGTAAAGTACTAAGCATAATTTTCATACTTTTCTTCAAAAGATGAGTAGAAAAAAAATGTATTTTCAACAGTGACCCATGCTTCAACAGTTGAGTTTACTATGTATTATGACAAAGTGCAGTTATTTATTTTGTTTTGTAACCCCCTGGTTATCTTTATAAACTTGCAATGTAACCTCTGTTAAGCTAAGAGCTCTTGAGAGCCCATTACATGTAGATACATGTGGGTTTCACTGCTCATAATGGGTGCAAAAATCAGCTAGTTACCTAAATGATTTGTTTAAAGTGCACCTAAACCCAAATTTTTTTTTCGCTTAACGAAATAAGCTTATTTTTTGGAGTATTTCTGTGCAAAAATTTTTTAATTTGCTTAAATCTTAAATTTTCTGTGCCTAGTCAAAATACGGAAAATCGGCCACCATCTTGCCCCACGACCGAGTTTAAAGAGGAATGGCTCTAGCGGATAATGTGACGTCAAATCGAGAACACGAAAGTCTGCTTTTCACACATTTTCACTTGTTTGGGAAGGTTGTGGTCGATATTGTCTGAAATATGCCGACCAGGTGTATTGTATGAGGAATGTATGAAGCGTGATACCCTCTTGCAAATTTCGCACGTTGCTACATCCTCCTATAACACACTTAGTCGGCATATTTTCGGACAAAATCGACTACAACCTTCCTAAACAAGCGAAAATGTGTGAAATGCAGACTTTTGTGTTCTCGATTTGATGTCACATTACCCGCTAGAGCCATTCCTCTTTAAACTTGGCCGTGGGGCAAGATGGCGGCCGATTTTCCGTATTTTGACTGGGCACAGACAATTGAAGATTTGAGCAAATAAAAAAATGTTTGCACAGAAATACTCCAAAAAATACGCTTATTTTGTTAAGCGAAAAAAAATTTTTGGGTTTAGGTGCACTTTAATCATTTGTTCATTTCTTTATTTGTTGTCTGATTTTCCTGTAAGGAAGAAAACCTGACAAACTGTGGGGAAACACCTTCAAATTTTTAACACTCTTGGAATTAGAGTTGTAAACCCCAGGCCACAGCATTGGGAGATGTGGCATTAATATTTACTTCTCTTTAATAATTTATATTCATTTTGTGTTGTGGTGGACTCTTCAAACATTCAAACCAACTATTGAGGGCTGAAACCTCACACTGAAACAAACTCCTCTTCACCTTAACCATGATTTCTCTTGTTGTTCTGAGATATTGAAGGTCAAGTACAATATCTACTTAATTTTATGCTAAGCACTGAAACAGTGTTCTTGTCTTGTTGAGTTGAAAGGGTTTGTCTGTGTCTTTATGTCTTACATGAACATGTAGGTGTTGTAGCATTTATCGAGGTACGCTCAAATACTGAAAACAGATTTGATGGAATTTCAAAGCAAGTGGAAATGCTTGGAGCAACAGTAAGTTAATCAGAATCTAATGATAGCTGTTTCTTGATATCAGGAGACAGTTCAGTAATTGTTTTTCCTTTCGTGATAGTCTACATGTAACTGCCGAGTGAGAAGAAGCTGCAGTCTTTGTTACCTGTTTTGAATAATTTACTCAATAAATTGAGAATTTTATGCAAAAAAAAAAACAATATCCAAAAATAGTTTAAAATTATTTTGAAATTATGGCTAGATCATAGAAAAAAACCATTTCACTTTTACCAAAGTTACAATAATGTTATGACAATTTTTGTAAATGTGCATGTATGCCATTCACTGTTCATGTGCATGATTTAATTATTAAAAGTAGATATACCCTCACAGCATATACATGTATATGTTGTAGTTCAACTTTATTTTTGGTTCAAATTTTATTTTCCTTTGTTTCAAACTCATTATCATACATTAACATGACCGAGAACAAAGGAAAATAAAATTTGAACCAAGGATAAAATTGAACTACAACGTATATCTTAAGTTATTAAATTAGGGGGAAATGGAATAAATTTGTTAATTCCATTTCCTACTTTCATCCTCTTTTCCTTTTTGCTCTGTTATTACAACTCACTTGCTGGATTTCAAATAAATGTTCTTAAATTTTTTGCACTACAGGTTGTCAAGAAGCTTACTCCCGAGGTTACACATGTGGTAAGGTTATTAGCATAATTTAGTACTATGCCACATTGCAACAAAAGAGAAAGAATTGCATTTAAGTTATGGAATGACAAATTGAAAAAAAGCGTTTTCCATAGAATGGGTTATATGAAAACTCATGTAGTATTTTCAGTGATTCTTTACTGGCAGAAAGTAATTGTCATTTCAAAAACATATTGATTAAGATATTTAAAGATGGCAAGAAGACAACAAGGGAGAGGGCACTCAAGAAGGGAATCTACTTGGTTTCTGTTCTTTGGGTTGAGAGTTGTCGACAGAGTGGAAAACGTGTTTCTGAGGATCTCTTCCCAGTTATTTCACCTGAGGAGGCCACCACACCATTGCTGGTAGGAAGATTCAAGAGAACAAAATCCATGCAACCCAAAGCCTTTGAAGAAGATGTTCAAAACAGTGCTGGTAATTTCTTGTTAGTCTGATGGTACATGTAATCTTCATTTCACAGATGATATTGTGCAAGATACCTGTATATTATGTCACATTTTTGTTTCTTATTAGACAGGGGAGAAAGAAAGAGACAGAGAAAGCTCCAGGCAGAGAATTTACTTCCCACAGGTTGGTGGGATATATATGTATATTTTTCCAGAACAAAAATACTTCCCTTCAGAGGTATTCTTCATACAGGAATGCTGAAGACAGCCATTTTGCTCCCATGGTACATGCAAAGTACATGTTTGTCAGGCCTATCACATTTCAGAAATTCCTACAAACAGCCATGGAAAGTGGCAAACTTTTGGAAATGCAAAAATGTTTAAACCTACTAAATTACATGACTGATTATACTTGTACATTATTTATTGTAAAACTATAACTGTTTTGAATTTTCCAGCTTTGGTTTTTTGTGAAGAAACTCAAGATCCACATAGTCCAGTAAGTATAGTTGTGTCTTATCAGTAGTGTTACCACACTGGTATTCCATGATATGCAGAATGAAAGAGGTTAATGAAAGGAAGAAGTTTTTCTATGTTAGGTGCCTAAAATAATTAACTACATGTAGCCTCTGTATTTTGCTTGTTTAGGTTTAGCAGAATTGTTTCTCTGTTTTTGTACCACAGTTCATTTGTTTATCTGTGTTTTTTTTTCAGTTAATTGTCAACTATCCCTTTACACCCCACATCATACCAGACACACCAAGTCAAAAACTGGAAAGGTCACCTCCGTTTATCAAAACACTCAACTACGGTAAGCATGGTGCAGTACAATTATAGTTTATGTAAACTACTTTTTTTATCACCTACTTCCTTCTAGGTGAGCTTGTATTATCCGTAAATTAACTTTACTCACTTTGAAAAGTTTCATGAATCAGATGGTTTTGTCAACGTGCTAGACTCTGGACAAATGTTAGGGGGGTGATTTCCTGTTTCGGAATAGCATCTCATTCTTATCGTTTCTATTTACTCGTTTCGTGCTATTGAAAGTGAGGGGAAAAATACATCAGTGTGGGTTTGTTGGTCTAAAAACCTAAGTAACCTCAGCCTTTCAACATGTGTAGGTGATAAATTACATGATTCCAGGTGGAATTTGGTGTCAATAAACACGAATAAATTTTTCAAAGACGGCAAAAATTAATTTTACAAGTCCGAGTCTGAAAAATTTATACTTTTTTTTTTTACACCAAATTGCACGAGAAATCATGTTATTACCTATTTATTGATAATTTACATGAAAAAACAACAAGACATTCAAGACAGACAAACTTTTGACAGCGCGTGTTATTTGTAATTTGCACTCATGTTACATGGAAATTGCACTCGATTTTAGCCAACCAGAAGCGTGTAATTTTTCATGTATATTACTAACTCAATGCAAGTGGAGGGTATCATATATACCAATCGCGAGGTCAAGATGGTTGGATTTTGGCCGAGTTCCTCTTTTTTTTTTGCATTTTTAAGGGCCGAGGCGAAGTCGAAGTCCATAAAAAATGCGAAAAAAGAACGAGGCTAACATGCAGCCATCTGGACCGAACAAGCTTGGTTAATAAAGGATTTATTGTACTGCAAAAAGATTTCGGTTGATTAAGGAATTAAGAATGACTTGTTTGCCAATTTTTTTTTTTTTTTGTAGCACAACAAACTCACGAGAGTCGTTTCTGTTTTCTTTGTTTTGACTATCTTCTGTCGCTTTTTGCGTTTCCATCGCCGACATTGTTCAAGAATTACGAACGTAGTTCCAATTATTAGCCAATCAGAACACAGGATTCGCTTCATCATGCCCACGGGCGCTGCGAGCGATGTAATAAGTAAAGATACATGTACATGAACGAACCCAAAATAAATGAGTGCCGTGAAGCACACTGTGATTAGATCTGGACAGTCAAGCATTACATAGGGAACAAAACTCTAACAAATACTACTTTTGAGAAGATTTGTGGTGTCAGGAATTACCTAAAGCTGCTTTCTTGCAATATGAGAGGCAACGTCAGCCGGCCACATGCGTGCGGTTTGTCGAAAGGTTTGCAGTGAAACACCAAAGCCACAAAAACGTAAAGCTGAGGTCGAAACATTCGGCTAATTAATTTAAACAATTCTATGAGCGTAAAAGTAAAAGCATTGAGTCACTTATCTCTGGAGAATTTTCTCTGCACTGTATATGAGCAAGGCAACGAAATAACGCGCAGAATATTAACGTAGGCTGCTACACATTTCCCGCCAAAATTCAGACTCGTTCCTATTCCCTTTTGTTTTATACTACGCTCCTACCAACAACTGAATAGCAAGTAAACACGTAACCCGACCAAAATTTATTAATTTTTTTTTTCATGTAAGCGTATTATTTTAACAGATGACAAATCGCCAAAGGAACCAATCGCATTGAAAAAAGACGACTCTGACCAATTGTCAGACAGTAAACAAGAAATCCCGTCAAGCATCAGCAAACTTAAAAGGAGGCTGCTAAGCAAGAGTACTCCATTAAAACTACCCACTCCATCCGTGGAACAAAAACAGACACCATCCGCTCAGACTCGAAAAACACCGAAAGATGTGTTACTGACAGGTCGAGTTTGTGTAAAGACATTAAATGTTTTTAAGTAATCACCGTTTTTTATTCTTCAGTTGTAGGAAAATTCAACAGGCTTGGTATCCATGTCTTTTTTCTGCCTGTACATATACATTGACGATGTGTTGATAATGTACGTTTATGTACTTTATGTGACCGGTTCCTTTTGTTTGAGTTGCCACATCTCAGCTATGAATAAGTGTGACGTTTTTATATTTCAGCCGTTTATATCCTACATTTGACATATTAACTGTTTTGCGTAGGAATTTCAAAATTGTTCTTTCAATACTCCTTTTCAAAGCTATATCTCCTCTTCTTTTTATAAATTAAAGTAGGCTCTGAACAAGGCATGAAAAGAAAGAGACAGAACTCGACGAGAGAAGCACAAACCGAAGACAAGGCAAGTGTTTCAAAGCGTAAAAAGAAAGCTAAAGTTGCAGAGGAAGTGCAGTGTGACGAAAAAGACCATGAAGAGCTTATAACAGATATAGAAAGCACAAAGAGGACCGTACAAAATGTGCCTGAAACTAAAAGGAGAAGAAAGGAGAGAGTATCTAAGGCAACAGGTAAAATATTGAGTTGAATCTTGTTGATTCTTTCGTTGCTCACTTCCCGTCAAACACCTCCTAAGTATTCCCTACAAGCTAGAAAGCCTATAAAATTTTATTGTCAGAGTGGGTCACGGGAGAGCCAGCAAATATACAAGGTGTTGCTCGTGGCTATCATCTGATTGGGTGTCGTTTAGCAGGGACTCGATGATGGTTGGTCTCCTTGAACGACGAGAAATGGATGTCGCGCTCGGGCATTTAAGGGTTTTTTCGGGGACCCGCCGGGTTTCGATTCTCTTGAAAGTGAGTAGGAATGAGGCTGAATACGCCGACGAAAAACGCTTCAAAATGGTTTTGTTTCACTTTTTGGATTGTACACACACACACACACACACACACACACACACACACACACACACACACACAACATTCATACACATCTTAGAACAGCAATGATAAGACAAACTAACCAATCCGGAAGACAATTATTTGATAAGGTAATAATAATAATAAAAATAATAACAATAATAATAATGATAATAATGATAATGATAATATTTATTTACCCAAGGCCTTATTAAACAAATTATTTTAACCCAGAGGGAACAGCTT